GTGGAGGGGGTGGGGGTGGGGGGGGGTCAATGGTGCTGCTGTTGTAATTTACAGTGTGTTATCTTTGTCTACGTCTGTGAAATGATGTGGAGTAAATCAGAGCAGCAGAGTAATGAAGGTGTGAGGATTCATGGTTTTAAGTGTAGTATCTGTTATGGTGAGGGGGCTGGAATGACCCCCCCCCCCTACCCCCCCCAGACTCAGGGGCCATAAAAGCAGCAGTGCAACGCCGACGGAGCCCGAGTTAATGTTAATACTGTCTGTCTCCAGGTTAGTAATTGGGTCGAGCTGATGAGTTGCTTCACAGACCAAGTGTAAATCCAGCCCCGTCCCCTCCGCTCCCCTCTTCTTCCCCCTTCGCTGTAAATCTGACACAGCTGGAACAAGGTGCAATCAGAACAAATATTGATCCTGCTTGAAGCCCGCTGTGTCTTTGTGCAAATGTTCTTGTGTGTGTGTGCACATCCAGTCAGTGTGGTGTAAACCTGAACAGCCCTGGTGTTTAGGTAAACATTTGTCCACTGATGTTAAACTGCTGAGATGGTTTTAGAGTCTGCTCATTGGCTCCTCTGTGTCTGATAAATGTTCCCGAGTGTTTCAGTTTACAATGAAGGAATGACGATATTGATGATGATGATGATGATATTGAATATGATACAAAAAGTTTACATTTTGACAACAAATTTAATAAAAAAAAATTATAAAAATGTTCTCTAAATTCTCTTAAATAATAAAATTAAAAAAGCATTTTCAAGCATTTTTCTCAAAATGTATTAGATTTTAACCAAAAATCACTCAAAAAGTTCACATTTTGACCAAAAATTCTAATTAAAAATATTTTTATGAACATTTTTCAAAAAACGTTTTTTTCTACAAATTTAGAAAAAACATTTTCAAAACATATTTTGAAAAGGATTTCCAAAAATGTTATCTAAAAATTTTTTTTTTTCAAAAAATGTTTCAAAAAAATCTTTTTCTGAAGATTTTTGAAAACATGTTTAAAAAAAAGATTTTTTTAAAACTTGAAAAAAATCAAAACGTTTTTAACATTATTTGAAAAAAACTTGAAAATGTTCTGAAAGGTCACTTTTTTTAATGAAAATTTAAAAAAAAACCTTTTTCTAAAATTTATTTTTACTAACAATTTTTCTAAAAACTTTTTTTTCTAAAAAAAAATTTTAAAAATTTTTTCTGAATTTTTTTTTCTGAAAATTTTTTCTAAAAAAAATGTAAAAAATGTTTTTTCTAAACAAATTTTAGAAAAAAAAGTATTTTTTTAAAAAAAAAATTTCAAAATGTTTGTTTCTTTTTCTAAAAAATTTTTTTGTGGTAATAAAAAATATTTTCTAAATTCTTTTTATTTTTACACCAATTTTTTTCTGAAAAAAAATTTTCTAAAAAAATCAAAAACATTTTCTTTCTAAAATATATATTCTGAAAATATTTTTCTGAAAATTTTGAAAAAAAATTCTAAACATGTTCGACAAAATTTATTAGATTTTAATCAAAAATCACTCAAAAGTTCACATTTTGACCAAAAATTCTAATTAAAAATATCTTTATGAAAATTTTTCAAAAACATTTTTTTCTAAAAATCTTTCTGAAAAAAATTTTTTAAAAATATTTTTCTAAAAAAAATTCTTAAACAATTTTGAGTTTTTTATTAAAAACATTTTTTTTT